ATGCAGGGCATCCCCGCGCCGTTGGAACCTGTGACCTTTCGGGGCTTGAGGGGTGGCTCCGCCCAGGGGCCGGTGGCAAAAGGGGAGGCTTTAAGCCCCTGAAGCCAGAGAGGCTCTCTGACATGTTGAGGTTTGGGGTTTAGGGTTTGGGGTTTATTTTGTGTTCATGATGGTGTGGTGGCATCGGCTTTCTTTCCATCCTGACATCCCAAAAGCACGGCTTAGAAACCTGCCAGCTAAGCCGACGAGGCCCTGCGTGGTCGGCCGCACGCCGAAGTTTTTTGGTCCCGGTCCCCGGCACAAGGTCCGGGCGGCCGGGGAAGGGTTTGTCGTGTTCTTGCGTATGGCGTGCAACAGTTGGGCGTGTGGATCTTTACCTAGGACTCAGGAACATAGACCTCATGATGCATTTGGGGCCTTTCCGGGCCGGGGGGGGTGGGGGGCTAGTGGCTCGCGTTTCTTCAACAACTCCGTCTACTACATGCTCATTAGCATTCTACTACTCTAGAGTCTTCAGCATTGCAGAGCCGCGGAGCTATGGGGTTCCGAACCTACTATTACGTAGTTATTGGGGCTTCAATGCCTGCGCTCCGAAGACGAAGATCCTTCAGCCCTTAGCCTTGACAGGTACCCCGGGGTGTCATGCATACCTACTTCACCAGCACCGACGCCTCAGATCCCGAGGCCTGCTTCCAGCCCCTTCAAGAGTTTTTTTCGGGATCCAGGGTTTTGGGGGGGATCTTAGGGAAGTTTAAGGCTCAGGGTGTTTGGGGAATGATAGGTTCTTAGGGGATCTTAGGGGTTTGGTTGGGATCTTAGGGCTTTTGGGATCTTCGGGCTGAGGGGATCTTCGGGTCTTTTGTTTACGTCTTAGGTCTTATAAGGTTGTTTGGGGATTTTATGGCTTAGGGATGGGGATCTTACGGTCTCTTTGGGATATTAGGGCTTATAGGTGATCTTGAAGTGGAGCTTTCGTAGAGTTTGTGAGCTCCAGAGCTTACAGGTTGAGCCTGTCTTTGTACAACTCTGCTCGGCCTTGCCATATAGACCCTCAACCCTTTTCTCTGCCCTGCACGCGAAGAACTCCAACCGCAATGGCTCTTCTCACCCTTATAGTTACCGTAGCCAGCCCAGCCTAGGATTATGTTTCACAGTCTGCTGAGCGGCCTGATGTGCTGGCTATGCGGCAGGGCATTGTGTTCACTTTTCTTTTCTCATTGTGACACATGCTGAATCGAAGTTTGGTTGTCCGTAAGCGGCCTGATACTGGGAGCCCTGGACCCCATGATCTTGTTTCCTCGGTCCCAGGTTCTAGATTGTAACACGATTCTAGAATCTGATCACGAAAGTCTGGGATCTGAGTCCATATATAAGCTACTAACATCAGCGTTCGCATTTTTAATGCTGCCATGAGTGTTGATGGTAGCTGCCGGGTAGCAGCAGTGATATGGTAGTGGTCTAAGCCTTTTGACGCCCTGCTCAAATCCGTCAATCAGCCCGTTCTCGTGGCTCAGGACAGAACGACGCACACGCTGAGCGCGTGGCAGCAGGCAATCGCTCTGGGGCTGGGTGTTGAGCGGGCTGGAACCACATACTGCTGTACTATTGAAGGCTCGTAGGTTTCGGCTTGAGTCAAAATAGTTCGGGAGTCTCAGCTTAAGTATATAAATATCGTTTAAGAACATAAGTTACCGCTTTAAGGCTGAAGCGGTAAAGGGTTGGGGTTTAACAGCTTTTGGCTTGGTGATATCGTGCACAAAAGCCTGCCAGCTTAAGAGCGCTGAACTGGCTGCCGAATCTAGACTACCTATAGTCTCCATTGTAGTTCCTTTTTTTGGTTTAACCAGTTCTATATTAAGGATCCTAAAAGGTACCCCCTCGCTTTTGTATTGTAGGAGGCTTGGCGGTTGAGCCCGAGCCATGAGCTGCAGGAATACGTCTAAAGACCTCTTATGCAGTGGACCCGGAAACTCAGGATTGATGCCAGAAACCCTCCAACTTCGACCTCGGGACTTTCAAAGGTCGCAATTTAGGGTCATTGGGATGAAATTTGCAAAGTCAGAAGCAGTAGAATCCCGAACAAACCCAAACCTAAACCCTCTTAAGCAAAAAAACACAAACTCCAAAGTCTCTCTGGAGAGACGTTGAGAGGCTTGGCATCGTGCTGGCTGGGCAACTCGAGTTCTGACTATAGAGCCTTGGCGACCGGGTGCTCTGCGCGTGCTCCTTGCATTTCTTGCCGGTACCTGGTAAAGAATGTGGTAATAGACGTATGCTCTGTTCATACGCCCACATATATGTATGTATACTGTATACATATACCATCTTATACACACACATACATATACATACATATACATATAGATATGTACATATATATATATATACAGCTGACAGGTGACTGAGTCCGTGTGAGAGAGATATATATATGCATGTATGTATCTAGGATGAATGCATGCATGCATGTACGCATGTATGTGTCTGTGCATGTAGGTGTCTGTGTGTGTGTGTATGTACGTACGTACGTAGGTAGGCAGGGAGGTAGGTAGATAGGTAGGTAGGTAGGCAGGCAGGTAGGTAGGTAGGTAGGTAGGTATGTTATATGTTATGTTATGTTATGTTATGTTATGCTGTGTTATGTAGTGTAGTGTAGTGTAGTGTAGTGTAGTGTAGTGTAGTGTAATGTAATGCAATGTACTGTACTGTACTGTACTGTAATGTAATGTAATGTAATGTAACGTAATGTATGCATCTATATAAATATACGCATCTGTATACATATATGTACATACTCACAAATGAATGTGTGTATATATATATATACACACACATTATTTANNCCCCCCCCCCCCCCCCCAAGACTAACCGAAGACACCAACAACACTTGTTTCGGAGGTCAGCAGTTTAAAGGATACCGTGTATGTTAGCTTTGCGTGCGTCATCAAGGGCAGTCACTATACCTTGGAAATCTTGGGAACAAACTCAAGCCAAGTGTGATAACAGTCTAATGACAGCCAGACATGAGCGGAAGAGGTAGTCCTGTCATAGTCGTCATACGAGCTTTGAGCCAGCAGGCAGCGAGGAATCGGTTGAACAACCCAACGATCACTTCTACCCCGCAAATCATTGAATCGGTACCCCAACGCTCGACCCCTAATCCCTGACCTATACAACCACAGACCATCAGAACTTCTCGAAGCTCCCGAGGAAGATGCAAAGACTGCCGCCAACTTCAGTCAATTCCATCATGACCTGGCGACCAAAGTTCCCCTGGGGGGGAACAAGATGCAACCCGCTCTACTATGATTACCGGCATGACCATTCTTACTTTGGATGCTTCTACGATTACTAGGATATTGCTGCAGTATCCATGGAGTATTGCTCTGTCATACATCGATTGTGGGAGGGGGTTTGATGCAGAAGGACTTGATATTGAGGGGTTGGGTTTAGGGGCGGAATGGGGCAAAAGAGGCAGTAGCCGTCACCGTGTCACATTCAGCTGATAGAGTGAAGCCTCCCTACCCCCTAAACGAGCACCCTCTTACCTCGAACTTGTCGGCATCCAGATCTCAACGTCCCAATGCTAACGACCTGCAGCCCATGAGCTGCGAATAGCAGGTAGTTGTAGGGTTTCGGTTTAGGGTTAGGTGGGTTGAATGTTCAGGGATATGACGCTAAAGAACAAATGCGTATAGCTCTTGTTTCTATCGGCAGCGACCCTGAGACCGACAAAACCCAATCAATCCCCCAGGGACCAGTACTTGGCCATCAAACACAACCGAAGTAAGCGCTAGCTTGATCAAGTTTTGCTACCTGGTTCGTGGATGTTTAAGCTACTGCAGCTGAAGTGTATAGCCCAGTATTCGGCCATTCAGCCCAATAGTGAAGTACTTGGGCTCAAGTATATTAAATAGTAGAGTAGGTGTAGAGTAACATGTTGGAGAATATATGTCATGATGACGTACTTGGACCTTCAAGGAACAAGACAAGGCAGCTCCACACATCGGTACTTATTTGCATGTTTTGCGTTCATGTTGATTCATGTAGAAAGTCCGGGGCCCTTTAGTGTATCCTACTATGTAGCAACATTTGGGGAGCAGGCCCACCTCCATGTGCAACAAGCAGTGGGGCTCAGAATCTAAGGTTTAGGGCTACGGAGCACTGAAGCTTCTATAAACCTTAAACCCTCTACCCTGCATGCTAAGCCGTCTTTAAATGCTGAGGTACGACTACCACTGCTACATGCGGTACTTGGCCATGGCCGAAGCAGGCTAGGGTCCCGTCAGATTCAGCACACATGCTGAGGGACTGATGGGTCAGCAAGATTGTTTATTGGAGCTGAGCTCTACATCCTAACCCCCCGACCGCCCGTTTCTGAAGCCCTGTAGTAAACTGTAGTACCCTTTGTAGCAAGCCTTCGAATAGTGCCCCTGGAACCCCCAAAGCCCTCCAGCTCTATTTACGATATGTTACATAACGCATATTTAAAACTGACTGCTTATCTGGAAACCATGCAGAGTTCCAGTTTGAGAGGTCTTCCAACATGTGTTCCTTGAAGAGCCTTCCGTTCACTGCGGATCCCGCATGCGCAGAGTCTGTATACTGGTCTTGTGAGCGTCCGCCATGTTGAACATTCGTGTGGCATCTTCCAACTTGCTCCCAATTTGCGGCGATCGATCCGACCAAGAGAGCGAGAGAGATGTGGTGTATATATATATATACATACATACGTACACATACATTAAAGAGGCAGAGAGAGAGAGGTGTATGTACATATATATATATATGTAAACACATACATTATAAGGAGACAAAGAGGGAGGGAGGGAGGGAGGGAGAGAGAGAGAGAGAGAGAGTGGGGAGAGTGTTGCTTTCTGCTTCTGGGCAGTTAAGGGCCCGAACAGTGTAGAACCGTCTTGTTATGCCAGTTTGTTTTTGGCATTGCGGCCCGGGTGGCACGGGATGTCCAAAGCCGAACACTCCTTGCAGGGGGCGGGTGGATGTCGGACTACGACGTGATTCCAACATGGTTCCCTCCAGATACAGCCGCTTGGCTGCCCAAGGCTAAAGCCACGGAAAACACAGCATGTAGTAACCTGAAGAATTACCACTATTGAATCCATTAGGGTTCCTTGTTGTTACAACCCCAACAAGCCTGTTCTGGTCTTAAAGGCCGCGACATTAGAGCACGAGTACCCTCAACGGCCCTAACCCCTGCGCCTGCAAAACAATGGGAGGGGCCTTCAAAACTCAAGCCTGCAATATAGGGGTCTGAATAAATTTTAATGAGATGCCCCAATAGTCCCTAAATACTCTACCGAGTATACCCCAGCATCCTAGACAAATTGCGCATGCTTCTATATCACAGCCCTGGAAGCCATGACCTCCGATTCGCCAGAATCAGAGAACCGGAAAGGATCTGCCCAATGACGGGCGCTTCACCAGCTACCAAAACCACGTTCCCGCACTGCTCTCGGGTAGGCCGCCTGGCCGAATTGGGCGTAAGAGTGGATTAGGCTTCGGTGCACGGCGTCGCAAGTTGCCAGCAAAGAGGCATCCTTTTGTAAACGCAACCACGCGTGTGACTGAAGGCGGTGTTGCTGCGACTGCTGCTGTTCCAATCCCAGTTGCTTAAATAAGGATCTCTTGTCTTGTAGATCCTCCCTCGGAGCAGTGCATCTCTTTGTAGTTAGAGTACCCAGTGTAGAGAACTACCGATCAAGAGTCGACGGAAATCCCTAGCATTCTAAGCCCCCATATAGCATCTGTTCCCGACATGCAGGCAGGATGAATGGTATCGGATGGCTGACACTCTGCTCACCTTGGCTGTGTCGAAAGGGAAGGACCCCGGGAGTGGAGCGTGGAGCAATGTCTGAATGAGCACCGAGCTTCATTGTTTTCTAAGCTTCCAGATGGTCCCTCTAACAACCCCTAAATAACCTCAACCCTAAACCCTAAACCTTGAACCTAATCCCCCATACTAATCTCCGGACTCTGCATCTAATCTGATTTGGAAGATTGACAGTTCCACGGTTTTTAGCAAACTCGGATCTCATGGGCCGCTGTTAATCATGGGACCACTTTTTCGTTTCTGGTTGCCAAGTTGATCAGGCATGTCCAGCTCCAGCCTTAAGCTGCAAGGGGCACTTGAGTAAGCCAGTGGATGGCTGTGCCCCCCCTTACATTCCTGCAACAAGTAGGATCTCTCGGGTTTGTTTACGTTTCGCCAGGCCCTGGCAGCCTGAGCAACTCAAAGTTATGTGGTGGCAGTTGTGAATTTATACTGATGGCTCACCAAGCATTGCTGTCCTCTCGCTGCCCCCAAACCAACACAAACAGAGAGGTTTGGGCTTTACCTATAGCCCCGAACCCGACAGATTGCCGGGTCGTGGCCCCATATTCATAGGGTATAGCCGTTGAAACCGTAGGCTATTGTATCCACAGCCCTCCTAACCTTGTGCGCACCTGTCATTGTGCGAGGAGAAAGCCATCAAAACCGGTTCCGAGTACCTGTTCTCTGACATGCGGCCCGGATGACTCTGCTAGGGTTCAGGAATTAGGGTTCAGGGCTTGGCTGTAGGGCTTGTCGGGCTTTTGGCTTCAGGGCCTAGGGCTGTAGGGGTTTAGGGGTTTTAGGGTTGGGAGAGGGAGAGAGGGAGGGAGAGAGAGAGAGGGAGAGAGAGAGAGTTTAGTTTAGGGCACAGGAGGATGCCTCTTACTTCAAGGAGCTTGAGCAGGCCTCTGCCCGCGGCACAGGACTTAACGATGGAAAAGGGCAAGCAGGGGAAGGCCAAAGGCAAGGCCACTGGCAAAAGCTTCTTTGACGACTTGCTTGAGTAGGCGAAGGGAAAGAAAGTCACCAATTTGGGCACCTTGTGTTCGCAAGGGTTGTAGGGCTGTGCAACTCCGACGACTTGGCCAGAAAGGATTTCCCGCGCTGACCTTCCCGATGCCCTAAGCTTTCGGCACAATGTGTTAGAGTCCACAGATTAATAGGGTTCAAGAGTACAGAGTTTAGGATTGCGGGTTTAAGATTGACAAGTATCGAACAACATAGAGTTTAAGGTTTCGGGTGTTGGCTGGAAGGATATAGAGTCAGAACAAGGCGGAAAGGGGATCAGCTTCGCTCAGGTTTGCGCTGCTGGCGTCTTGCCTTCAACCAACCGGGTTCAGTGGTTTTCCTTTGAAGAGGTGGTTTAGGGTTTAGGAGGGCTTTGGGATTCAGGTTTGAGGAGGATTCCGACATGGCCTATAGCCCCGAACCTCACTAAGTGAGGTTTAGGGTTTGGGGTTCAAGCCTTAACAGAGAACGACGGAATCTTAGTCGTAGAAGAACCCACTACCTTGTATTTAGGCTTCAATATCTACATACACGGAATAGGAAAGCCCCTTTACACAATGTACGTGGCGTGGACCTGCATGGACTTCCTCCAAAGCCGCGAGCCTGAAGATGTCTGAAGCCCTAAGACACGACCCTAAAACCCTGAACCCTGAGTCCGTCAAATCCTGAACATCCTCGCTTGTGGGCATAGATCCTTAGCCATGCGAGAGGAAAAAAACCGTCAAACCCCCAAGAACTGAAACACCCCAAACCCGTAATTATCCCGAGAAGCCAGACATCCACAGCCGCTGTTCCGCTGTTGCCGAGATTGCCTAGGATGCTGCTACAAAGGCAGGTACTGTAAGGCCCCAACGAAACAAGGAAACCCCAAAAACAGGCTTTCGGGGGCCTAGGGTTTAGGGTGCTCTATGTAGGGCTGTAGTTTGAGGGGTTGGGGGGCTCGAGGGTGTGGCTGCTAGTGGTTCGGGGTCTATGAAGAGAACACGTGGGAGCAAAAACCGCAAAGGCTCCTGAAGCCCAGAACCCTCGATGGCTTCAGGGTGTTGGGCCTGGGAGGGGGGGGGGGTTCAGTTTAGTTGCTGCCGGGTGTCAGAAGTTGCGGTTCAGAGCTCATGTCAACTTTAGTGGTGTAGGATATGCCTGAACACCAGGTATCCTACCAGTTCAAAAAACCAGGGATAGCTATAGCATAACATACCCCTTATTCCCCCAAATCCCTATTCTAATTATTATGGCCACTGTTTTAAAGCTTTATAGCTTTATAGACCTGCTAGAGTCCGCTAGAGGAACCCTATTCTAATTATGACAGCCGCTATGCTAAAACCTTATAGTAGCCTTCAAATGAAGCTTGAACAGAATCCAGCTCTAATTCTGAAGACCCCCATTATCGGGCTTGTGATCCAGCAATCCATCGGGCTCTTGTCAACGAACTTATTTCAAGCTACCATACTAGGGATATCTAGTAAACACTATGGTTTCCTAACAACTATGGTAACTTAAACTAAACTCCTTAAACCCTAAACCCTGTAAACCCCATAATTACGCCCTAAAACCCTTGAAAGCTTAATCCCTATAAGCCCCAAACCCTACCGTATAAACCCTAAACTCTAAACTCTAAACCCTATAAACTTACATTAGGGAGCCTCGATACCCCTTAAGTTTACGTTAGATTCGCTAAGCAATAAGCCGTAAAACCACCTAAACCCTAAACCC